TATATATATATATATTAGTTCAATGAGAGCAGAGCTGCAGTTTAAATGGAAAATCTTAGCATAAATCTAAAGAATAAAAGGTAGTAAAGTGTTGATGTCCAGCTGTGGCCTTTTTAGAGGAGGAAAAAAAAATCCAAGAAAACATTTCCTTTTACGAGTCAGAAAACGCGGTAAAAGACATAAACACTAAGAGCAAAGCTAAATGAGTACAAACTGCAAGTATTTTGGTTTTATAAAGAACATTTTTAAGACTTCAATAAAGGAAAATGAGCTGAATTTGTTTGCGTTTCCAGGAGCTGAGCGGTCACCTGGCGGCAGAGATCACCAGACTGTGTTCTCTGGCCAAACAGGACCAGCTGCCACTGGGTCAGAGGATGGACGCGTACGAGATGGAGGTGAATTATTCATTTAAAATACCAATGAGTCTGTTTCCTATAAACTGCAACAAATCAGAGTTAAAAGTGTTAAAAATGTAGTAAATTGGTTTGGTTAGGTGGTAAAATTACTTCACGAGGTAGTATAAGTGTATTATTAGCTAGTATAATGGTATTAGGTAGTATATTTGTTTTATAATGGTAATTAAAGGTAACATGATGGTATTGTTGGGTAGTACGTATAGTATCATTATTTAGTATTATGTATTTAAACTATTTAGAATAATGCAACTTCTTTAAAATGCTATTATGATTAAAAAATGGTCTGATGGTAGCATTGTATTATTACTTAGTGTAAGAGTATTTTTAGGCAGTACAATAAAATAGCTTTTTTTCAGCATATTGGTGTTTTAATGAAGTATAATGTATGATAAGGTAGTATAATGGTAATGATAGGTAGCATATTTTTATTAATATTTGGTATTTTAAGGTAGTATTATTGTATTATAAGGTGAATTTGAACAAATCCTGGGTTATTAACTGGCCTCACAGATCAGCGTTTGAATTCAGTTTAATTTAGAAATCCTTTTTGGTCCCAAAGGAAATTAAATGTTGTTGAAACTCATCATTTCCTTAGCTTGTAGCTTTTAGCTGCTGGTGGCTGCAGGCTGTAGGATCTTCTGTAGGGGTCTGTCAGCAGATCTGGAGAAGCAAATGAGATGATTGTTTCAGCACCATGACATAAAGCGCCGCATCGGCTTCCTCATCTGCTCGCTCATCTCTGATTCACCAAACGGCTGCAGAGTCATTTTAGCATTTCCACAGATGACAGGAATTGGTTTAGTCCTGGGAGTCTGAGATGTACAGAGTCCTTAATCTTCCAGATTGATGGACCGATTCCTCTGAAGTCGTCTGCCTTGTCTTCTCGCTTTGATTGTAATTGCTATCCCAAACACAGAAGCAGATCTATAAGAAAAGATCTATAAGAAAATAGCAAAAATAGGAAAGAATTCCTGTAGTCCTTCCAAGTTGGTGCTGAATCCACGTCTTCTAGATGTTTTTTTTCCCAATTTTATTTCCTTTCTTCAGATCACGATGCGCGTGAAGGAGACGGAGGTTCAGTGCCTGAAGCAGGAGGTGGCGTCTCTAAAGGATGAGCTGCAGGCAGCAGTAAAGGTGAGCATCACACACAGCTTAAACATGCAGACAGAACATGTAAGGAACACTAAAGTATTTCTGCTTCATCGCAGGACAAAAGAAATGCAACAAAGAGGTACAAGGATGCGCACAGTGAGCTGAGCATCCTCAGGGCCAGAGCGGCGCAGGAGGCGGAGGAGCTCAGGGAGAACCTGAGGCTGGCTCATCAGGCGCTGGGAGAAACGCCTCCCTGAACTTCAGCTGGATTCACTCATCAGTGTTTTACATCAACAAACTGTTTCCTCTCCTTTTCTCCCCGTTTAAAACTGATTTCTATTTTATATGAGGAGCTTTTTTTGTTTACTTTTTAAAGTAACAATTTTTTTTTAAATTTAACTCACTTATTTTCAGATATAAGATATACTTTAATTTATTTTTAGTAATATAAAACCCTTTTTTAATAAAAGGAGCTTGCTCAACCATCCTTCTGTATTCTTTTAATAATTTAAAAATGTCTTTTTTTATTTGTTTAACTGAAATATTTGTATTTTCCAGAAATAAACCAAAATACAGCACATCTCATGATTTTATATGTAAAATGTTTTACAGACTGAAACGGTCATTGTTTGTACTTGTGTAGCACTTTGTAAAGTCAAAGCATTCAGTCATTTATACGCTGATGGTGGTGAGCTACATTAGCCACAGCTACACTGGGGCACACTGACCAAAGCTTGGCCTCCCCACTACAGAGACGGATAAAACTAGGGCTCAAACCAGCAACCCTGCAGCTACAGGATAAACATTCCTGCCTCCTTAAATAATTAAGAATAAGATTCTTATTATTATTTATTTATTTATTTATTTATAGCAAGCGACTGTTTTTTTCTTTTGACATATTTATCAATTTTGTTTATTGTGAGCAAAAGATTAGTTGACATTCAGACTAAAACTGTAGAAACAGAATTTCTAGAAAACCAAAAATGTTTGAGGTTTTCTCACCTTTTTGAACAAATGATAAAAAAAGACGAGATTTAAAACATTTTATTTGAAAGAGCAGAATTTGATCTGTTGACGATCATACAGAGATTTTATGATTTCTGCAACCAAAAAGTTTCTCCATTCGGTTTCTTTTTTACTTTGGTTTCATTGAATCGATTCACCTAGTTACCACAATACCTCAATCCACCCATCAGCCCGCCCACCCTTACATTAATTCATCCATCCATTAATTCAACCCTTCATCTGCCCATCCCTGTTCACCCGTTGGCTTGTCCGGCCATCCATCCTGTTACTGTTTAGCAGAAAAGTACATTTAATGAACATTTGTTGTTTTTAAAGCCAGAATAAACTAGAAAAACTTGTTATAATATATTATTTTTAATGATGTTGATGTTTTAAAACAATTTCCACAAATGTAATGGTTAATGTAATGGTTACAGAGCTGTAGACTTTGATTGGACGACTTCAGACTCTATTATATTAGAACAGACTTTTGGCTCGACTTAAATGACTCGATACCCTCATTAAAGTCAAAAACTGTGTTAGGGAGCCTCAGGGCCAGCTCAAGTCATAGGCAAACTAAGCAGCTGCTTTTGCCCCTAGGGCAACTAGTGGGCCCCTAAAACAAGTTAAAAGTCTGCATGTATGTTTTTTATGTGTTTAATAATTAATATGAGGTTATAGTAACGAAAACAAACTGTTTCATGTAAAACTGTATTTATTTCCCCCACAATAACATAAATTTAATCATTTATAAATCAATATTTATAGATGAAATAAATAAAAAAATCAGTGGTCTTTGTAGGGTCCCTTTAATGCGCAAATGAGGAAGAACCAGTTTTAAGTTCTCTGAGACAATCATACATTTGGAGAACAGACTTATGGCAGCGCACTTCTACCGATAACGAAAACCTTCTACTTCCCAAATCTGGCAAATCAGTGTAAACAGGGTCTAAGATCGAAGAGTTGTACAGAAATCTTTGGATAGTTCTACAGATGGCCGACACTTGTCCTTTCACTGGAGCTTTCCACGTGCTATTTGAGATCTTCAGTGGATCTTCAGAAAAAACTGAACTGACAGTGATTAGTGTGAAATCAGATTTTTATAGAGATACAATTAATAACTTTGCAGCCACAAAGGCATGACAGCGCAGTTTTTAAAGAGAGGGTGAAATATTGAGGAGGAACAAAGTTCTATAACATATTATATTTCTTTATATAGACATTTTGCATTAAGTTACTTTAGCAAAGTCTTAAAACCTAATTATTCAAAATAAAATTTGATATTTTTTAACTAGTTTCAGGTAACTATTCATTGAAATAAAAAAAATAATGTTCTTGCTATTTTGCCATCCCTTTTTTTAAATTACGTATGTCTGTTTTTATATGATTAACTACAGAAGAGGATTAGGGCCACTAAAAAAAATGTAAAAAAGTTAACTGATTTTAAATATTTCAGTTTAATATGGGAAGAGTCAAAATTCTAAATTTAATCTCAGAATTCTGACTTTTTTCTCTGAATTCTGACATTTAACAACCATGTTAGCATCCAGCCGTAGCCATGTCTGTTTTAGAGACTAGCTCTCTTGTTTTAATGACCTTCTGCTCTTCCATTAATAAAATAGCATCACCGGGGACCCCTCTGGTATGTACAAAATTGCCTAATTCCATAATTTTCCACCCATGTGTTACTGGCCCTCCCAAACAACTCACATCTTTGTCAGCTTCACTGACAAAGATGGGCACCATGAGTCTCTTCCTTCATGGGGCCCATCAACATTAAAATCCAAGATTCTGAGATTATATTCAACATTCTGAGATTAAAGTCAAAATTCAGAGAAAAAAAATCTGAATTCTGATTAAAAAAAAACAAACAAAACAGAATTCTGAGATTAAATTCAGAATTCCAAGAAAAAAATCTGAATTCTGATAAAAAAAAAACAAACAAAACAGAATTCTGAGATTAAAGTTAGATTTCAGAGAAAAAAAGGCAGAATTCTGATAGAAAAAAAACAACAGAATTCTGAGATTAAAGTCAGTATTCTGACTTTTTTTTCCAATATTAAACTGAAATAAAATAAAAAAAATCAGTTCACTTTTTAATTTTTTCAGTTGCCCTAATCTAATCCTCTTCCGTAATTAAATTTAGAATGTATATTTTTTTGCCAGCACTGTGATGAGTTTAAAGGTGAGTGACGGATCTGTCCATCTATCTTTTGATGCTGCAATCTATTTTATGGGCATAAATGAAAACCTTTTTGTTGTTTCTTTGTAATTATCAGTATGATTTGTTAATGAATTGATCAAACTTATTGACCTGATGATCCCATCTTTGCAACAGATGGAATATTCAAGCTTTTACTTTGAAGGTACCCGCTTCTTTTCCGGTGTGTCGGGTGTAACGGCTAGCTTGACTCCGTTGGAATATGGTGTCCATGATGACAACTTGAAAACCTCCAACATCAGTCAGAGCAGAGGCTACCTGCTGGATCCAGTTCGGTGGAAATGAAACCGGGCCCGTGTCCGTTCGGGAGCCGCTCGGCGGGGTAACGTCCTCCGGCGGTCTGGCTAACATGAACCGGAGCGGCCGCGGCTTTTGTTTACATCCAGTCCAGATGATGGTGATGATGGGCCCGGAGAGGCGTGTTGGCTAACCCCGCTACCCGAGCTGCTTCCAGGGAAGGAGTCATCGGAGAACCGCGCTGCGTTTGGACCGGAGAGGTCCGTCCGAGCTGCCGCTGCCTGAAGGGTGAGCGGACCGATGGTTTCTGCCCAAAACAGCCGCTTTTATGCCGCTGACGGGAGAAAAGCTACAGCAGGCCTACCTGTGAAATAATGCTGACACAACTGGTCAAACATCGGGGAAAAATGTGTTTTAAAATCTGACATTTAGTTATGTTTTGCAACTGTTGTTTCCTTTTGTTATAAAACGGAAAATCAAGTATTTAGAAAAAGAATAAAGCAAAACTTAAAAATTAAAAGAACCTAAACTGAAATGTCGTTTGATTGTTTTTTTTATTTATTAAATCTAAATACTTCTGTAACAACCGAACTCTGGAAATAGACGCATTTCAGTAAATTAAAATTTGATCGAAAAGTGATTTAATTTAACTTAAAAAGTTAATAACATTGATTATAAAAAGGTACACGTTGTCATATTTAAAATACGTAATATAATGTCATATTTAAAGGGTTAATTATACGTCTATTTTAATTATTCCTACTTCAACTGATGGAAACTCTGAAGCGCCATGTTAAACTGAT